TGAACTCAGAACTCACGTCTGGTCGATTTTTAAATCTCCCCGAAAGCCAGGCTGATGATTGTCTGATAGCACAAGACGTGTTAAATAACTTAAAGCATCTGGCATTGTTAAATAACTTAAAGCATCTGTCGTTATTTTCGCATTAGAGAGGAGCGAGGCGGCCGGCAGAGAGGGAAAGGTAACGGCCAGCGTCGAGCACAACAGATGTCATCACGAAGCGTCCCAGACGCAAACATTACCACGGAGAAAGTGAAAATTAACGCGAAGCTTCCGGGTTATTCATACGGTTACCGTATACCCTTTACGGTGAAATGATATCTTGAATGGCAATGCACCATACAAGACTCCAGAGGAAATTTCACAGCCACAGTGCACCTTACGCAAGTGAGTTATATCGAGAAAAAATTAAAAAAAAACGAGGCCTCCAGGGAAACTCGCATAATTTCACCATGTGTCTTTTATGAATGTAAACGACTAATAGGTAATAAATTTTGCATTTTAAACCATATTAACACTATTTGTGAGAAAAAATCAATCCTTCTGCGTGAGTACTGAAAGGCATTAAAAAGTTTATGCGGTATGTTCATGACAAGTGCACACGTGTTGGTCAGAAAAAACACGAGGCACAGGCAGGATTTGCATCAGAGAACATCGGCATCAAAGGGCCGAGCGGAGGGACGGTGGTGTGAGCGTGTCGCCGGCTCCATTAGATACGTTGTCGCCGCCGCCGTGCCTTGCGACATGACAAACTCTGCCACGCCGGTTGATCAACTCTTGCTTGAAAAAGCAACCATCTCGCACTAATGCAACTTCAAAATGAAATAAACATTTCATTTAATAATAAAAGTATATTGGGTTTTCTCGTATTGGACGTTTCCGGAGAAAGATCCTAATCTCAGAGAATGTTCAATTGTATTTCAAATCAATGACAGGTTTTTAAGCATATTTATTGGGTGTCCAAGTTTAACGAAGGTCTTACTTTAACGTATTCAATGTTCTGTCGAGTTAATTAACCGCATCCTTACATCAAGTAAGTTATAGTCGCTCTGAAGGAACTAGAATAACTATTATCCCATTCCTGAGCGCGTAAAAATACGCTGAATTCATTTTGAAGGAAAGATTCGTATACTTATCCGACTGACAAATGACTTAATTTCCTCGTGAACAAATAAAAGTCCAATTTATCTTCATCGAGCTTTGATGGTAAGATATACTTGAAGAATAAATTAGAATTTGATTTATTTGAAAAAAAAAATTTACAATCGAGCTTCGGTCTACAAATTTCGCCAGATTCGATGGCCCACAAAACCATAGCAGAGCGATGCCCGCGCTGCATTTCAGGATGAAATCTAACTTATATTTCAATATTCACGGCAGTAAATCCATTCAGAATATGAGTTACTTGTGGGCTCAAGTTGAAAAAGCAATAGGCTACTACGCAGTGATGACATTTTCACCGAACCGGCATAAATCAAAATTAAGTTAGAAAATGCGTTACATTCTCAAAACTTGTTAACTCACGTAGAATTTGATAACTCGACCATAAATTGTGAATCATATGATATAGCTATTAAATGTAGACATTGTTTATGCTGGCATTTTGTGATAAGCTGCCATTTCTTTCATCAACACAAGGGTCGCCATGGTAACCATAACACTAAAGAGCTTTGCCTGCCTCGACAACCTAGACAGCATTCTTGTTTTGTGTCCTGTATCATTCCTGTATAAAAAGAATATTTGTAGTATTCTACGTAGAACAAAAAAAAACGTAACAATTTATACTTGACTTTTCGTTGCACGGCCTACGACAGGGAAAATTGCAATACAAATGAAGGCATAACGATCCGTACACATTGACGTAAGACAATCCATACCGTACCCGCTGAGGCATGTACAGTACATTGTGCAGCTTGACGAGCGTTTTGCCATTGAGGCATAACAACCCATTGAAGGAAAACAACGCAGGCACACTGCTGTATATATACGACAATACCTACACATGCAGCAGCGACAATAGAAGTACAAGGCGATATCACTAGGATAACGCTTTGATGAAGGTTAACAAATTCTTCACGCAGGTTCTTCTTAGTCGTATAAGCAGCTTGGTAGTTACGTTCTATCTTTATTCGCGAAGCTGATGAATACGGAGAAAGATCACAAGTCTGACAAGTTCCGTGAATTGTGGAGAATATTATTCGCACTAATCACTTTATAATTATTTCGGTAAAGAATAGGCATCACTATGCGATAGATATTTCTAGTTAATAATTTGTGTACGAATATATTTATAATTTTCAACGCTATTCGTACCTGAATGCATGTTAACCGAAGTTTCCGCGGGTTAAAATACGTTTTGAAAATTATTTGATTTCACTGTAATCCGCGCAAAGTTTAGTTTCAAGTGATTAGGCAAAAGCAGATGAGAATATGAGATCAAACGAAGTACCTATGTCTATGTGCAATGTGCGTGCACAGGGTCAATTTTACAAACTATATTTGCCAAATGCAGAGTGATTCATTTCCGCGATAACCGGCAAGTCCGGCATTAGAAGTGCAACATTAGCAGGTATACCATGTACATGGGCACTATTATTTCAATAAAAATAACTCCGCTCGATTATAAATATTTCGAATCGCTGAAGAAAATGTCATTTCACAAGGAACGGAGCCATGATTTAATTTTGTATGAAAGTTGAAAAACGACGCATTTCAAAATGGTAGCGACAGCTAAGAAGAACACCAACATTTTACTATCTAAAACCTAAGGCTAATCACATTAATATATTGCATGTAAAGAGAAAGTTAGGGTGTTTATATTATATAATGACAGTGGTAAAGGAAAATCGAAAGATGTACCGGTAACAGGAACATCGCGAGACACAAGAACTGTGATAATAAGGTAAGAAAGTTGAAGGTGGTGCAGAAGAGGAAAGATGACAGCGAAGTGGAGGAGGGGAGGGTGTAGAGAACCTGTCGCGGCTCATGGTACCTGCCGCAGCGGCAGTCAGGGAAGAAATCCTCACTGATATATCCACGATTTCCAGAAGAGAAACTCACCTCCTACTGCGAAAGCTGATCCTCTATCATCATCTCGGATTATCTGTCCTAATCCAACTTGTGGTGAAGGTAATAGTACGGTGAATAATGTTAGTATGACATAGGGACACCGTAAACAAAACATTTTCACTGAGACGCACTCGCTCACTTCACCAACACATCCTCACCACATGACAGTCAAGTCAGCACTGGAGATCCTCCGGGCTCCGCACACCCGGACCACCAGCTCTCACTGGAACTGCGGCATCGTTCCTTTGCGCATGCGCCAAGCGGCGCATGGAAGTCCTTCGGTGACCCTAAAATACACGACTAATCAAGTTTGTAGGTTCAGAAACAATTAATCGTTTCGGTGCTCAGATGCGCCTTTCGATCATTTGTAAGAAAAAACATATTTGTGGTGGAGTTTTTTTAATATTTATTTAAAAACAAATATGTAAGTTGCGTGAATTATGGTTGGTGTTTTAGGAATTAAACTAGATTATAAATTAGAATGTTTGATTCTTAATGCAATTTTTAATACAATTTGCGTGATAGTATAAATTTTATTGTATTGTGAATAACTTAAAGATGTTGCTATTAAATTTTATTATGGATGATGGAAAAAAATCTTCTTATACTTTCTACCGTGTCGTGTCACCCAGATATATCATAAAATACTGTTTACGTATATTTTTTTACTTCAAAAAGTTTTATATTTGCTTTTTCAATAATACTCACGTGAACTGTAGGTTATTATTTTTATATCCTCTTAGAACACTTGGCACTCCGCATGCCAGTTCACTTACACACTAAAAATTTTTCACGACCCATCGTCAACAGAATGTAAACATCAATAATTTTAATTTCAATTTTAAATGCAACATTTAGCAATTTTCATGTAAGCAGACTAAATTTGTTGTTAGACTTACGGAAAAAAGATAATTTGGTTAGAATAAGTTTTAAAACGACTCGCGTGAACGCAGTTGGGGCCTCAATGATGACACGTCTGCTCTTCCGTTACCAGAACCCCAACCCCATCCACCCTCAGCAATGCCCCTTCTCTCCTAAGCTCCTTAGCTGAAGTTATAATCAAACAAACCAATAATGCACTGGAGTAACAGTCCCATAATCTGGGATACAAAACGAGCAATAAAAAGGCATCCATGAATTCATAATTTAATGCATTTTACGCATACTTACGATTAAATAGTTAGTGAAAAAAATAAACTCTTAACAGGGACAGAAGATGAGATCCTCCCGACGTTAATTCAATCATGTTAATGTTGACTAGTATTCTCATGCAATACTTCCCCCCCCAGAACAGCCGTGAGTACGGCAGCAAGCTAGCGTCTCGCCACACCATCCTTCTTGAACTCACTCCTCAGGCGGACTTCTGACGTGTGTCTGTGTGCTTCATAAGTCCTATGGCATTTCGCGTTCCTAGAGGCATTGTTCTGAGAGTCCCATCACAAGGCTCGCAGTATATGATTGCGGGTCTCATTTGTGGGATTAAGTTGTTATGTAGGTAGGATTACTTACATTTTCCTTCTCTCTCTCTCTCGTGCGTCCCGTGTAAGTGAGCTTTTGTTCGAGTGTCTTCGTTGTTGTTCACTTGTTACTCCTTGTCACTTCGTATCTTTTATGCTGACGCTGTTTCACTCGAGCCAGCTTCATTGGGCTGGACAGCTAACCTCCCGCTACTTGCAGGGGATGAACGACGAAAATTTTTAAATAAACGAAACCTTCCGCCTTGCTCTCTCTTAATGTACGCGTTTTCCATGTTGATTCAATCCATGTTTTAGACGTTTGTACGACTAATGAGACAGATTAATCGGTGCACGCTGTCCAAACTGGGAAGCCCAGACGCAGGGAACTTCATAACGCAACCATGAACTTAACTTCAATCTGAAGATAACCCAGAGAGGTGGGAATAAGAATAACTACAGGGTTCAAGAAGACAAACATTTCGATTTAAAGTTTTACTTATTAAATTATTGGACGACAAATAATAAGAAACTCAACGGCGAAAAATTGTCACAGATCTTGTTTGATCGTCGCGTCAGTGACGTAACGTTGAAATCATAATGAAGTATATCGTTGCAATCTAACAGATAAATCGAAAGACTATGAGTGAATGTTTCAATAGCATTTACGTATGAATAGATCAAACATAACCTTGCGTTAAAAAGAGGATGATTCTGCTAGAATAGCAAGCAGAAATGCTAGAAATCTGCATGATACACAAGTTTCTAAGGTATTACATATATAAGCGCATTAAACGGACTAATATGATGACCTTCAAGCACTAAACTGATGTTCTTCTTTCGGCACAAACGTTCTCTCGGTGTAGCAAAACTGGGCAATAGAGATGCAAGAAAGACAACAATAGAGATGCAAGATAAGAGCATTACTACAAGTTCTCTAGGAACATTACAGAAATTTCAATGTAGAAAGTAAGCTCTTTCACACTCTCCACTTACACAATTTTGAGGTACTATTCGAAATGAACCATTTTTCACTCAATTTTTCAGAATGAATGCTAATCCCTTTAAATTTGAACCATAAATAAACAACTCCTCACCATCGATAGAAAAACTCGAGACCCTTCATTTCACTCACACATCTCGAGACAATAAATCGCATGCATGTACTCCAAGATTGGCGAAGGACCAAAATAACAAAATCAAGGGAATGAATGCCTAAATCTTTAATTGGTAGACTCGTCTGAGCCGAAGTCAAATTCATATCAATTGCATCTAAGTGGAAAACCAAGTGCTTGCACTGAACCAGACTCTGCATTGCATTAGATTTAGCGGTTTCCAAATAATAAAATGCACGCTTACTTAATTGTTCAAGTACGTTTTCAAAATCTACAAAATTTCTTCGCAACGTAGGAGAAACCTAAAGAACTCGTGACTATCTCGTCAATCATTTGACACCGTAACCAATATCTTCTTTACCTTCAACTTTAAAAAACAAGGAGCCTCATTTACCAGAAAGCAGATGAATACGTCTGATCGAGCGATGCTGAGTCTAACCATTGAAGAAGCTGCCTTGAGATCGTTAATAAACCGGAAACAGCTCTTTAAAAAATATAGAAACGCTCAATATAATTTCATCAGAAGGACCGTAGCGTAGCTCCGTTATTTCGTACTCTAAGGTAGAAACTAATCATCATGAACGGCATTAGGAACAAAATAAATACACAGAAGTATCCAGTAACTGTTATGATTGGGTAAAAAAGTTAGACGAGCATTTAAAATGCTTCACTGAATGGAACTCGAATCCAATAGCTTATAAGTGATGAGTAAAATAACTTTGAAATAAACTTGACTATGCTGCGCGATCCAGCTCTCAACAGATGGTTTTGAAGAATTAGACTAAAACATGAGCTAATGCACAAATTATGAAAAATAAGCAGTGGGAGCCAGATTAATTTTGGGACATAGTTAACTGAAAAGGTTTGTTGTTGCAGCGTTTGTTGCGGTCAGTTGTTCACTCGTGCATGGGGTTGTTGTCTTGCCGCATGACTTCAGGCAGGTCTGGGGGGGATGACAACGCACTGAATGAAAGCTCCTCGAACTCCCCATCATCACCTCTGAAAATATTAAATTTAGTTAGAAAAATGTTCCAAACATTTTAGCATTTTATACTCATGTTCATGAAAAATATAACGTTGCAGTTATATTTTTCTCGACACATAGCTAGGCTACGTTAGGTGAAGTAATGCGGATACGTTCCTTGCATTTCATTGTCCTTTAAATATTATAAGTTTGAGCAAACTTTGAAATGAATGCTCTCTCGATGAGAAAACGAGGAAAAGTATAGGCAAAAATAATGACTGAGTGAAGAGACGTTTACATAATATCCCGAACAATTCACATTCTACTGAATATTATTTCAGGACCTAAAACATACGAGGCGGTACCCAGAAAAAATTGGCCTGTCTTTTTGTTTAATTTATTTATTTATCCGAAATCTTTTAGAAATTGCTGGAGTTGTCCAAGTCAATTGGGACAATTCCGCAAGGTCGGCAATACTTCAATGCCAATCTTCAGGAATAGATCCCTAATTTCCTCAACATTTTCTTCAGTCCAGTGAGTGGAAGGACTACCAGAGCGAGGTTGGTCACCAATTGACATTTCAAATTTTTTGGAGCGGAAAAAACACTAAAAAAACGGCCATAGCATCATCCATGCCATAGCAACTCTCCCCATAGCATAATCCTTGAAGGTTATGTGTAGCATTTTCTTGTCAGTTTCTCACAGAAGAAAGAAAAATTTTATTTCAGCATGTTGTTCAAGAAAATCAGTCATCAAAAAAGATGAGTGCGCAAAGCAAGTGCAACAAAAAATTTGTGATACTTGAAGATGGCCTTCTAGGGCAACGATGCTTTTTCACTACCGGGAGCGTAATGGCAGTAATGTTCACAGGCAGTAATGCTGATTATGGGGGGTGTCAACAGAATCCTTTTTAGCATATACATTAATACAGCACAATATTATCATAGGGATTTTGTTCCACAGGATTGTTTCTAGTAAAGCGGGACTGTAATTAAAATGCATAAGAATATAATGCTTACAATTCCAAGCCAAAATAAATTATCAGTACCGGTGTCTAACATGACTTAACCAAATTTTCATTCACATATTTCACAAAATTATACTTGAAAAACATTAGAAAAATAAAAAAGCAAAAAACAATAAAAAGATAGTTACAAAAAATGACCATCATCGCTACCTGATACAGAGGCCAATGGAGGCTGGAGTATGAGCACGAGCACTCTGCACGGTGAAGCTGTAGTCGCTCAAGGTTTTGTCATCACTGAAGACTTCGTTGCCATACTCATCACTGAGCTTTTGGTCTTCTGGAGCAACCTTCAGGATACCTGTGAAATAAGTTTGATGTATTCAGAAACTCAACAAATTTAATTTAATGCTGACAGATGGCTAATAGAAGATTAATACACAACCATAAAATCTGCAGAGATATATATGAAAGTTGCATTTTAGTTGTAAAAAAAATATTGTGAGTTAAGGGTGTTATGAAAAATAAAGGGCAACCAATTTTCCAAAAAAAACTTCAAGTTTCTCAGTATCAAAACAACTTGAATTCAGTAAATCACCTTGAATAATTTTCTTGAGCTCCCTGATGGTGGTCGTTTCCTTGGCATCTGTGAAGATGGTAGTTTTTTTCCGGCGGATCATGAGGAAAACATCCTGTAATTGGGAGACAGATTGTTAACATGCACCACAACCATCCAGTACACAGATGTTCTCACCTGAAACCTTAAATGAATGTTACAAAGTGGGTTAAAATTTTCAAGGCAGCAACAGTTCAAACAACATTGCATCTGCAAAAGTCAGGCCAGGTAAAATATCAAATTAATGGTAAAGCCTGGGTGGAAGAACAATTGAAATCATTTATGCTCTGGAACAAGTTTATGGTAAAAGTACCTGAAAGAAATCAGCAACCTACAAAAAGTTTAATCATTTTTGAAGTAGAAGAACTGAGACCAAGAGCTACCTGTGCTGAGGCTGTCCATTGACATCAGTTTTTGGAGAAAACATTAATGCTGTTTGTGATCTTTGAAAAAAATTGGCAGATAACTGCCGAATCAGTAGCAGTCACACTCAACATCTCTGTGGGTTTGGCACAAGCAATTCTGGTGAACAGTTTTGGACTGAGCAGGCTCTCTGCTCAATGGGTTCCTAGCTTTGCACCCAGATGAGCAGGAATAAAAGGTCCTATAAAAATGTCAACAAGTGGGATGAGAACCATAAAATTTTCTTATATGTGTTGTGTTGTGATGTGTAATTGTGGTTCGTAATGTTATGTTGCCATAATATGCTATGTTTTGATGGATTGTGTTTTGCAAGTTGTCTTACCTATGTTATGTGTTAGCAAGTATTGTGCTACGGTATGTTATGCCATTTAATAATTATTATTGCTATGTTGTGTTGTGTTATGATATGTTGGGTAATGTTATGTTGGGTTTTAAGGTGTTGTTTTATGCCATGTTACAATTTTATATTATAATGTGCCATGTTATGATGGGTTGTGTAATGTCATCTTAAATGGTTTTATAATGTGTTACAATGTCTTGTGTTATATTATGTCATAATGTGTTATATTATCTTGTCTTATAATGGGTTTTGATATGTTATTTTGCCATGTTAACTAGACCTCACATTTTAAACACAACATTATTATTGAAACACAACAGATTCCAACAAAAATCAACAATTAATACTGCAATGCAACATATTATGATGCAACAAAAGGCATTATATTGCATTACAACACATGAGTATGCATTAGAAAACATCATATTGTATTAGAGCACACAACTATGCATTTGATTGCATTAGGACACATTATAACGTTTTAGAATACATTGAAGTCCATTAGAATACATTTAAACAGGTTTGGACAAATGGCAATACACTAGAGGGCATTATAACATATAAAAAAAAAACATTAGAACACCCTAGATTGCAATAAAACACACTAGATTGCATTAGAATGCATTAGTATGCACTAGACTGCACTAGATTGTAATAGAAGGCATTAGATTATAATAAAATTCAATAGAATGCGTTAGTATGCACACGAATAAACCAAATGGCACTAGAACGCAATCGAACGAAAGATCTAGATTTCATTAGAATGCACAATATAGCATTTGAATGAAGGAGAGCACATTAAAATGCACTAGAACACAGTAGAAGCCCATCTCTTACTAGGGCAAGTTGCAATTGGCCCTTAAGGTCGGATTGTTAATCCAGAGCCAGGAATATGAGTTAGGTTCAGACTTTTACAAGGCGCCGGACCCCGATGCACACCGGGCTGGTGCTTACACTAAGTATGGGGTGATTCACAGAAATTTCCTTTTTTTATATAGTGCCAAACAGCCAGATGTTGCAGGAAAAGTGCAGGGAGTCTTTCATATGGAAGGCAGGGTCATGAAGTTTTGTGTCCTGCCCAGTCAGTAGCCACTATGCATAGGACAAGTGAGCAGCATGTGTTTGCTATCAAAGCATACTTTTCTAATAGTCATTCCATTATTGCTACTTAATAAGCATTCCATACTCAGGTCTGTATTCATTATTCAGGGCTGGTTCCTGATTGGAAATCAAGTGTTATGTAGGTGAACACATTTAGGGCAAGTGGAAGTGTGAATGCAAGAGGGTCTGGAAGTCAGGGGCCTTTTCAATGGAGGTAAGCAGACCACACAGCATAATTTCCAATTAAACTTCTGGGACATTTTGCAGAGGGGCAAGTGCTTCACCCTCATTTAAAGGGACCTTCTGCCAGCTTGATCCCTCAATTTGGCTCCGTATGAATTTTAATGGGGTTATCTTGAATCAATTGTTTACAATGACTCTCCCAAGACCCTACCTCATTTGAAGAACAACATACACCAAGCCATTGCCAACATACCTGTGAATATGCCTCAGCAAGTTGAACAGAACTTCAAAAATTGACTAACCGAATGCATTGACAATGGAGGCAGTCATTTGTCTGATGTCTTTAAAATAAAGTAATACTAAGTTTTGGTAATATCTTTTTTAACAAAATTTTTACTGTAATGAAATCTTTACTGTTTCTCTTTTTCAGCTTTCAAATCAGCAAGGTTCTGTGAATCACCCTGCATATTACTTTACATAGATCCTTGTATGCCAGGTCATGAACCACCATTTCTAGATGGCTAAAATTCCATCCTGTGCCAGGGTGCAGGCAAGGTATGGAATATATGTACTAGGCAAAGCGCAACTGAATTTTTTGAGCCGTGGTTTTATGGATTTGACAGCCGTGATTTCATTTCTTCAAGCCGTGATTCCATTTTTTCGAGCCGTGTACAGCAATCCCTTGATTAGCACGGTTTTGATTAACGCGGAAAAAAAAATTGCGACCTACCCTTAATCTACGCGGTGCCAGTTTTGATTAGCGCGACTTTGTTTTCACAATGCATAATTTTCCCGCCTCTAGCCAGAGGTGTTACGTTTGTAACAAAAGTGTTACTTTTTGCTTATTAGATCTATGTTGTTACTTTTGTTACGACTTTTGGAAAAATTTGCCATATATTGTTACTTTATGAATTTCAGCCAATAATTCTTTAAATAAGGTCCCGTTCCCTAGGCACTCGTGCTGACTACAGAGTCAGTTTAACCGCGCCTTGTCTCGTTCATAACTCGAATGGTAGAGTTCAGCAACGTTCGCCGGTAAGTGCGCCATGCCGGTGCTCTAGTTACTCGTTAGCCTTCAACTGGTCAAGATCGCTGCCATATCTACTGCTCACTTTTATCAAACTAAATAATTTTCCTTGACAAATTACCGTCATAATTATGGACAAAAAGGGAACGCTTAAACGTAAAAATATCACTTTGGAGACTAAGCTTGAAATAATTAAGCGTTTTGATAATGGTGAAACGAAAACGAAGATCGGTGAAGACCTAGGGTTTCCTGAGTATGTAATTATTATGTAACTTTGCTATTTTTGAGGATTCATTATAATTATTCCCATATATTCTTAAGTTTGATTAGAGCGGTTTTGCTTAACACGGTAAAACTTGGGGATTTATTAACCGCGTTAATCAAGGGATTGCTGTATTCCATATCTCGGCCATGAAAAGCCATTTACGAGGTGCAAATTTATTTACATTTACAAAGTCCATGCACGTGTTGCCCCAAACTGCCCAAATCTCTAATTTTACCCTAAAACAGTCAAACATCAACAATAACATTTGTCTTTACTGTAAGCTGAACACGTGTTAATGCAGTCTTTTCTTGTTTTGCAACTATGCGCAATCTTCAACAAAACGTTTAGGTTGACTTGTATACATTACAATGATTACGTTCTGCAGGATATTTTGGCAGGAACGGTAAAGTAATGCAGATTGCAGACGTGGAAAATTTTATGTATCGACATGTTTGCCAAGCGCAAACTGCAATTTTTTCAATCTAACAGAAATTTATGACATTCAAGCTGGTAGATAGTATCATACCTACTCCTACTGAAATTATATGATATTAGAGCCCCAATATTTCAGAAAAAAATAGGACTTTTCTAGCCCTGCAAGTGCCAGGGTGTATGCCACTCAGCCACTGCTTAGGCTTTGAGCCTATCAGCCTAATGTCACTGTGCACAGGATTAATCCATAGTAATGGTAATCAATAGGCTACCATCAAACGGGGTAAAAAGGGACGGTTTTGAGCGTTTTTTTGTTAATAACTTCTTACCATGAAACATTTCAGAAACACGTTTAGGCTCATTTTATAGCTCTTTGGAAGGGCTATCGAATGGCATCTTTAAAAAAATTCCATATGCTATTTGTAAGGTGCTAGACGCAATATAAAAAGCTCCTGAATTAATCTGGAAATGGGGTAAAAAGGGACACTTGAAATAAAACTTAATTTTAAACATTTGAAGCATGCAGAGTGTTCTCATCTATTACTAACAGTACTCTGAAGTCCTCCTCTTCCTTTGTAGATGATGTAAATGTAGAATAAATGACATTTTCCATGATTTTTACTTGTTTTTCCTTTATTGATATGATATTACCATATTCATTAATTACCGTATTATTAATGTGATATTACTGTATCCATGGACATGCCATTGAGCATTGACAACAACCTTGTCCACTGCAAGCTTCATAGCAGCAGCCATGTAGCATTTTTTTGTATCTGTAAGCTTACAGGATGGTTTGTAATTTTGCACAATTTTAATTGAGTCTTAGTGATTTCACTATAACAAAAAAGATCATGAAAAACACACCTGAAACAGAAAATATTGTTTTGGTGACAACATCATATGTTTTGAAGAAATAAATCATAGTTTAGGTCAATTACTTTTCATTCTATGATGCCCAGTGCACAATTCTATACATAGCGTTCTACGTACAATTTTGTGACGACCAACGATGCACTAATTTTTCAATAAGTGAATTTTTTTTTCACCGAGCTAGGTAAATGTAATCAAAATTCTTTGTTGTTAATCAATTTTTTTTTTAACTGGAGCCTTTGCTAACTGAGGTTCCACTGTAAATGCATTTTTAAGGGTGTCTCTAATTACCCCGGGGGGTGTCCCTTTTTACCCCGTCACACAGAAATGGCTGCAATTTTTTTTAATGAGATAGGCAAAATCCGGCAATTACGTTTTCAAGCCGACACCTGGGGCTGGGCGCAACTGCAACTTTTATGTAAGTAAAATTTCTTGATACAGCGAAAAATTTTTTGCTCCAGACCTTAGCAGATGTACTTTTCCAAAATCGCGCTTTTTCACACTTTTTTTCAGCAATTTTTTAGAGATAGTAAATGTTTGATTTCTTGACTAGCTTTATACATAATAGATAGTAAAAATGTTGAAGTTTACGCAAATATTTTTAGTTTTGCAATATTTTGATTAGTTTAGCTGCTACAACATTTCTACAAAATGTGGGACGCACGTCCCTATTTACCCGACCCATCCCTTTTTACCCTATTTGACGGCATAGTGACAAACCAGAGATTTCTTAGAATCAGTTCATTTTTAATTTCCTCATTTACCCAAGATTTAAACAAATTTTTATGTATAATGATGCTGGTATCCAGGATACTTTACTGGTTTACTTATAGGACTTAAAAATGAACTTGAGGGAGAGTCTAAAATACTCTCTGCAGTCTGCTTTGCCACTATGTTAAAATTGACGGTACCATTCTGAGTTAAGTTTATGATGCTCAAAGCCTCAAAGTCAGTCCAAAGTGAAAAATTGGGCATAAGCCACTGGTGAATTGGGCAAAAATACTCGTGAATTTAGCTAATTTCCCCCATTCCTGTCAATCATATATCCTTCCTGCGCATAGTGGCAAACCAGAGCTTTTTTAGAATCAGTTCATTTTTAATATCCTCATTTGCTCAAGATTTAAACCAATTGCTTATGTATGACAATGCTGGTATCCAGGATACTTTACTGGTCTACTTATAGGACTCAAAAATGAACTTGAGGGAAAGTTTAAAAAACTCTCTGCTTTGCCACTAAATCCTGCGTCCCTGGTCAAAACAACATAGCTAAAGCAGAGTTCCTGAATTTGATTACCTTTCTAAAAACTTGCCTTCTAGTTTCATTAATATAATAGATTACTATTATTTCTATTTTGTGTTGACTAGTGACAGCCGTGGCTATAGTGCTCTCCTAGTCCATACTCCATAGTGAGTCCAGACTCCAAGGGCTGACGGCTGAGGCAGCCATCTAAGTCAAAACGTGGAGTTGAGTAGCATTGAAGATTCGACCTCAGTGTCAGTGGATAGCCTACCATAATTACTCAAGATTAATAATACTTTACTTAACAGCAATATACACCCCCAAATATACACTACTACTTCAGGCAACTATACAACATTTTCCCGGTCAACAGTGACATACCATTTTGAAGAATTTCGATAGATATCCAAATTTTACCGCTCGGCTAAACTTTAGCACTCCGCGGAGAGCTCAAACACGGGGCTCATCAAAGACTGGACACTGAAGGTTACATAGGGAGTTAATGAGGCAACAAATTTTTCGGTGAAATATTTTCTGATAAATGTTGAATCGACAGAACAACAGAGGATGCCGGTTCATAAATATTTGGCATAAACATAAATAATGATCGTTTAAAATTGTTAGAATCATCATATTGGATAACATTTTACAATAACTTGAGAAATAATTCGTTTCAATCCAAATTTTCAATATAATTCATTTGGAAATAATCATCCGAATTTTCCACGTCTCGGAAAAAATATATATTCACACAATGATTTTCTGTTGGCTCTGATAATTTTTGTTATTCTAAAACTAATGCATTTGCGACTTAAGAGATAAAAATGTTGATTGATTGATTGATGACGGTGGCAGGATGAAAATGCACCGAGTTGGCAGATTATTTAATTAAGCGATGGACTCAGCCGGTGTTGTGAAATACACGATTATAGTCTTTTATAGCTCCTTTTTATCTGTTTGATTCTCAATGAGGCAACTGAATACTTGAGTTCGATTTTTTTTCATACAATAGTTCATATTCATTATGTGATGGAACGTTGCATTAGAAAATGATTAGAATAACATCCTTTGAGTGCAGGTACTGATATTTTTATTCGTAATTTCATTACAATATTAGTATCATTGAAAGTTAAACTTGAGAGATATTTCATAGAAATTCTTTAAACACTAATACATCAGAGAATCAAACCTATTTGTATCGAAGAAGAAAATTATAATGCTGCAAAACAAGCAATTTTTGCGTCCGTTTATTAACAAATTACCTCTAATCTACGAACGAGCTGAAAGTCATGAGATTTAAAACATTTATTTATAAAATCATAGACTAATATTTCATCGTTGAATAACTTGAAATTCATTACATTTCTGTTGAAATCCACTAATAGCTATCATAAAGTGACAAATAACGATTGATTGATGTTGCGGCAGCGAGAGATTGGACCGTCACTCTGGCTTCTCGAAGTTGCGACGGATGATGGCTTTGGGCAACGCGTAATCTTTGAAGTCAACAAAATCAGCCATGAGGATGTTGCACCCACCTTCCCTATTAACCGTTAAAGAGATGAAATTAGACATAAGCCGATATAATTAATTTACAATTCAATGGTCTAATTATATACTCTTGGTATAATTTCAGGAATAATTATAACTTTCAACACTGATATATGTATCATGTGTACAGCAACCCCCAGAACCTGGTATTGAAAGATCGTGCATTCATAATTATTGGAGTTAATTGTCATATCGCTAAGAGAATAATTTTCTTGACACAGAATGAAATTAGATCAATGGCTATCTAACATGCATTTGCCGCACGACATTCACAAGTAGATTAGTAGATGGCAGTATAATGAATATGAACAAATTATCGTTAAATTTAGGAAATATTCCCGTTGCAATTTTCTTTGAAACATTCAAACTAATTTTGTACTTTTTAATCTAACATTTATTTTCCTCAGAGTAAATAACCCCAGAAATATATACAGTATTTCTTATCTTTAATCACTGGAAAAGTATATTTCATTCGATTTCTTCCCCTTTTCCTATTGAATGAAATGCCTGCATCCGATTTCTAACTCAAATCTGTCCAGATTGATCAGTCAGCCATCGTATCTAGGACATAAATCCCACTAAGACATAAGTCTGGATCAAAATAATATCTGGCTGCCACATGTCTGGGGCTAAGTACGATACTGCAGATGGTAGTCAAAACTCAAAAGGATCGATAATTTTAGGACACAATTTACTGACCTGTCAGCCAGGAGAGGAAGGTTCTTGAGGACCGCAGTGTTGGCTGGAATGGCCATCTTGGCTTCCAGAGTGCTGCACAAGTGGCGCAGCATAAACGATGACATGGACGGAGTTAAAACGCATCTGCAAGAAATAAAAGATTTTAAATTAATTAAAGAATAAATTAATTAAATTAAATTAAAGAATGCAGAATGCAGATTACAGAAAAAAATTTTCTGCAAGAAAGACCTAAATAAAGTTTCGTTGAAATTCGTAAATAGAAAAGGGTAACGCGTTCCACTGTTTTTATGAGAGTACGGGGAGGTGTACTTATAATAAATCACCAGGCAAAATAATCGGGCTACTCATTATAGATGCCAAATTAGCACAGAGGCCAGCAATCAATTAGAAAATTTCTTGGAGGGCGGACGAGCACCACATTATGCTCAGTCGAATCACGCGTACTTATTAGGCTCACATTGGACCAAAATTACTTGGTAACCCAATTAGCAGTAATTATTAAATTAGATATAAACAATAACTGGTCACCACTGAGCAAGGTAACCACGTCAGGACCGCAGATATGGCACTCACTGTGTGACATGAAATAAGCCAAGATTGCGGGCATCAAGAGCACGCGCCAAGAACTCAATCATTTCCTTGGCGTCGCTGGTGTGCGGCCACGGGTTGGGCATCATGTCTTTAGTCCATAAGAAGTTCTCGGGGAACTCGCTGACGTCGTCTGACCTGTAGAACACCAGCGCCTGCAACAGTAGTCAGCAAGACATGGGTTGTATTTACGACGTGACCTTGTTACGTGTTAACGTATTAGGATCAAATTCGAGTAGAACTACTATAGTGTCAATAGTAGGTCACGTAAGGCCAGCAAGCCTTTATGCCTCAGTTGTATACCAGATTCCACCAAATACAGTTCCCCAAACCTATAGTCTCATCTCTGCCCATCTTCCTCCTTAGCTAGCTTGGACTTTGAAGTCATACGACTAGCAAACGTAACAACCAAACGCGGGCAACTCCACCATGCAACAACACACATTACTCGACTGGTAAAAAATAACTTAATATAGCTTAATTAAGAATGTGACTATGCAGCTTTTAGGTTAAAAATAATTAGTGACATTTGAAGATATGAATTCTCTAGTGATAAGTTAAAATACTTAGTAGTGGTTCCATCTAACCAGATACCGATGGTCCGACAGTCTATGCGCAAAAACTAGGGCAATACTAGTTGACAGAAATTTTCCAAACTTAAGGGCTGTATGAAAAACTTAGAGAAAGTATTGAAAATTATATCTAAATTGCTGCAGAACGTTTATATATAGATGTGAAAATACTTAGACAATATTTAAATATATACGTTCTGAACCTGATATTGTTTTTTCTGAAGGAAGGCAAGGTTGAGGTTGTATGGGGGCATGACCGGGCACAGCGCCCCCTGGAACACCTGCTGGATGATGCCTACAAGGTCACGGTGTAGTTGAGGAGTCAGGTCGTACAGATGCTGGAAGTCCAGCAGCACAACCTCGCTCGAGTGCGAGAACAGGAACAATGATATCTGGACCGTAGAACTTATATCAGACATCTGACGTCTAATTAAGTCACTTAATTGAGTCGTGATTCTGTGTCATGATTCTATCTGGACCGTAGAACTTATATCAGACATCTGCCGTCTAATTAAGTCACTAGAGTCATGACATCTTTAAGATTCTTGCTATTCTTTTCAGAACTTCGTTTTCATCCTCTGTTCTGGCCTACTGTACTTTTAAATGCAGTTATGGAAAATTGGATAATAAAACTATTATGCAAGTAGGACTGGGTGCTAGAATTGAATGAAAAATCCATGTCTATGAAATCAGCGAAGTACTCATGAGGTACTTTTGGAAATTAAATGAGTTAAGTACCCATGTATGTAAACTATTCATTATACTTTATCATACTGAAACGAAACAATTTTTTTTGTGACAAATATGGACATGTACAATGCAGGGGGAATTTTGAGATTTAAGAATATTTCTACAGACTATACTGTAAATTTGAAAGTTTGCACATTGACTTTGCTTGCAATATAATTTAATGCTTACTTCTTCCAGTATGAGCTGGATGTCGTCCCCGTACAGTCCGTGCACGAAGTGTAGGCGACCGTTCAGCTCCGCCACACGCAGGTCAAAATACCTGCCGTGATATCACTAAATATCATTAAAGTAATTTCTTTCAGTGTCTTGATTCGTTAAACAATAGTTAACTTATTATTTTCCATGTCATTTTTCCTGGTCTCGAGCGTAATTTGAAGATGAATAACCTGATTACACTTCTTTGTAATCTAAACCGTAAAGTTGCACACAATAAACTGAATTTAATAACAAGTAACAAATTTATTCAAACAAGTATAAATCAAAATAACCCCTATGGATGAAAGTTAATTTAATTATCATCATTACCTACCAAATAAAGCGGACAATCTTGAAGATATATTAGCCCCAAGTTAGTGAGCAAGATTCGCGACTCATGGCCTATTTCTCCATGAGCCTATTTCTTGGGCCATGTGCCTATTTCTTCAACGCCGACACTTCTATTCTTCTATTCCAACCTGACACCGTTGGTGAGCTGTTCGGTGAGGGTAGCCCGCTGGGTGACGCTCCACCTGAGGAAGGCAGGCTGGGCGATGCAAGGGCAAGCTCTGCCCAGACGACGCACGCCCGGCGATACGTCCGGACCCATCTCGCCCCCCGTCAGGCTAGCGGTGCACGAGTCGTGGCTGCCTGGTGTGGGAAATGTCATGAAATTTTACATTTTATATTGTTGGAGTAAATAATAGAGATAACCGATTTGCATATTTGGAACTCTATGATGTTTAGTGTTAAAAGAGGAACAAGTGATACTAGCTTTATATGCGCGGATCACGTCAATCTTAGTATAGTAGTATAGTAGTATAGTATAGTATCTTCGGCATTAAATAAATAGGCCTGGATAGGCCTGTCGCCGATTCTTGTACTTTTCTTGACTAGACTGGCCTTACGGACGGAAGATACTTGCGATCAGATTGATAGTACTCTACTTCAAACGGTATAGATGCGTGAAACATTCATCTCGAGAAAATTATCTGATTTTAATAAGAGCGTTTCCATAATTTGCACATTTTTGAATTTATAGATTAATAAAAGATTTCTGCATTAAATGGGCGATTAAGATATTTTTATTATTTTTCTTCGTGAAAAATTCGTAGACGATCAAGTTTAGAAACTTATGAGATACTATAATGAATATGTATCAACGTTTCAGGTCTCAGGCATATAATTGGAAGATTTGAAACACTGAAAAAAATTAACGTAATTAAATTAAACATTCATCCCAACCCGTAGATTTTCAGGTTCAAAGCCTAATCAATAACATTCCCTCGAAAGAAGCCTCTAAAAATATTTGTTACGCTAACAGTAAAAATTTTCAAATACAGTTCCCGAATGATCTTAAAAGCGTAGTTCGTGCGCTCCAAAAAGAAATGCAATCAGAAGATCTTAATGGCTAAATAGCGGCTGACTTTGTCTCCATTTAAGAGGCAAATGGCCGTCATACATGTCATGGCTGCTGTAGTACTTAACAGATCGGACTGTTGGAACTGCGGATATAGCGTGACCTGCCATGCAGCGTGTGTTTGTGGGGAGTTGCTTAGCAGCGATCAGAACCTTCAAACGCCGCAGTGAAGGTCGAGCTACAAAACTTTTATCGAATATATCGAGTGTGCATCAATATTGGCCATTATATTAATCAATGTTGGATAATAGTACGCAATGGAATACAAAATTGTCTATTACCAGTAATGGTACAATTAAGACGTCAGAGTAAAGGGAAAGCCACTAAATTGTTATCGAAGTTATCGAGTGTAAATCAATATTGGCCTTTATATTGCTATCATTTGGTGATAGTATGGAATAAAATAATAATTTTTCTATTATATTAGTTATAACTACGTATAAAAGCTACATATTGAGCGCGTAAAAGAAACAGTGACGTTAATTTTTAAAACAGTTATTATCGAAATTCAATTTGTCGACTTCCATGCAAACTGTAAATCGTGTATTCGAATTTTATGTTTTGTGAACTAGTCAATTGAAGTTACTTCTCCGATAATGGCATTTTTTCTTGATGCATGATCGGTTAATAATATATGGACCATTCCAATATTTTATCTGCAGGACCGCCTTAGTGAAATACGATTTACTTCGCTTGTGATTGTCTTCTAGGCGCATAGAATCAATGTATTTCTTATAAATATTAGAGTGAGAGAGAGGACAAGGTCTTCGACCTTGTGATTGTATGGGAGCGGCAAACATTTCTTCACAGTAAATAATATCTGACACAAAACCCTGCTCCACCGTTCAGTTTTTATCTGGGATATACTGGAAGCTCACGCATGCATGGCAAGGTGACACTAAATACTGCAACTCACGAATGCTGAAATATATATCCTAAATATACTAGGTAATTAATTTTAATGATAAGCAAACTCGTAAACACTCGAGTGCCCCTATTTTACGCAATCAAAAGCATACATAAATTATAATGTCTACTAATGCAGAGTATTTTGGACAGGAGATTGAAAACGGAGCCTTAATCTTGTCCATCTATACTGCGTCTCTGATTACGATGCTCAACTTTATTCCGTTGGAAAAAGCTGCACTCATTTTTGGACATCTCAAGAAGCTTTCTTTTGACCTTGAGTGAGCGAGTATCGAGTGCCCGGTGACCAATGATTGCTACGCAAACCCTCCGCTGATCGCTTATTATCAACAGAAAAGATTGGCCCATTGATCCGTATTCGTGTACGATGTCTCCATTTACTTCACGCACAATTGACTACAATTGTTAGGCCATTGCTGCTAAGCACAACTGTTGATAATTTACCCGAAAGTAAATCACAAGGTCATTGAATTAATTTTTTAGAAATGCGCTTATAGGTTATATACAAATTGTTTATTATGAACCAAATGATTTGTCCAAAACTCCCTAGGGTGGAATTCTATTACAGGAAGCAAAAAGTAATGAATAGAAAATAAGGATGGACAAATGTTCGGCCTTCATAAGGCAATGAGTGAAATGAAAAAATTACATAGCCTATAAATTCAGTAAATAATTTAACTCTTCTCGGTTTGCATAGGCACAATTGCACTTAAACTCAGTACCACAATTACGTTGTGGAATTAGGCAGCCTGAGTAAAAGTTAAAGTGAAGAGATGGCATAAAAAGCTCTCTGTTTAAGCAGAAATCATGATAAGTGGTGCTTACAATCAATCATTCTTCGTTAATGAACCATATTATACGGACGCAAAAAAAAATTAATATTCTTGTGCAATTTTTGAGGCAGCAAAGTTTTCCTATATCTAAATGCATTGAAACTATGCCATTCTCCTAGGTTAACCAAACCTACACTATTCACTATTGTGAATAAAGTGTCCCTGATCACATCAATGCTTGAAAACCTTTATGATATAATATAAACAAATAGAATCAACATGCACTCTACCTGGGATGAAGAGGTGTTGCAGAGGAGCTTGCTTGACATGGTCCGGCAACTGCCCCATCCAGCTAGCTCTGTCCACACTTCCTAACTCATCATCAACAGCTGGTCGATCCAAAGGTGCGGTCATAAATTCGTCTTCCATTCTCAATTGTTCGAGATCAAGATCCGTATCTTTTATTTCTTGGAGCTGCATTTGTACAAGAGATGCCGATGTTATTTTTCTTATGAAATCATCCGATTTTTCGTGTCTCAAATCTTCAACCTGTAAAGGTATAGGCTCGTGTTCTTCTCTGGATACATCAGATGCAATTTTAGATCTCGATCCCAGTTTTGTGAAAATTGACGAAAACGCACTTTTAGTTTCAGGTTGATTGGCTTTCATAGAGACTTCTTTCTTCTTTTCGATTATCCCAAAAGCTTTTCGCAATCTCATTTCAGATGTATCATTAGAAGTATCTATTACATTTTCCAGGGTCTGTGGTATGAATCTCGGCCGACCGCAGCGTACACTGCTTTGTCTTCCGTTTAGCGATGAGACTGTTGACGACAAAAGGATACTTTCTGAGCTACTTTTTGCCAGGGATGAATGGATAATTCTATTATCGTTTGGGACAGATGCGAGACTATTATTTCTTCTGATAATTCTGATGGAGTTCATCAAATGGATCTTTGAAATTTTGTCCCTGAATTTACTTCGTATAAATAGAGGACTATGATGTGAAATACCGAAACCTGGTGAGTTTAAAGTTTCCACAACAGTTTCTTCTCCAGAAAAAACTTTCGACGAGTCCAATAACTCTGGGATAATATTTTCTCCTCCATTAGAAATTTCGTCGAGGCCGGACATTTTGTTTTCTTTCACACTAAAAATTTGTTTCATTGAATCACGTCCTGAGATTGCGGGCATTTGACTTTGGACTTTATTGAATGCACTTTGCTTGTAGGTTTCTTCAGAGCCGCTAAAGTTAAGCACTTTTTCGATGAAAGTTGAGTTGTTGAGTTCAGAGCTGCGTTTGCCGGTGCTGGATCTGCTTTTGGAAGCAGAGTGTGCGTCAAGTATCCTTGATACGTCCCAGCTCTGTGAGAGACGTAAAACGTCGCTGATCGGAGAGCGGATTGACCTCTGCTCTGTTGGTTGTTGTTGAACTTGGTTCTTGAACTCTCGACGTTGATCTGACGTCTGCTTCTCTACAGGCTGCTGCATGTTGTACTTTTCATACGTGAACCACTCACTCATCGCCTCAAAACTTTTATATACTTGTAATAATACTCATACCTTTTTCATTGATTCTGATATCCCAAGTAACCCTCAGTGGGAAAAAAATATATATTTTTTGTTATCACACTTCGTGTGATTTGATATCATGTCTCTTTTATTAGAATAAATTTACGGTAAAAACATACTCAGAACATTACGTTGTTTGAGGAGCATAAATAACGTTTAAAGTGAAGACCATGTGTTTCGTAGTGGCGCCTCAAACATGTGCGTGAGACCATGCTAGTGGCTGATTAATATTTGATAAATCAGCATGGCCTCATTCAATTTTAATTATCTAAAATTTAGTTTTGTTACGTTAAATTATATCACGTTTTATTTAAATAGGCAAATCAACCGCTGACTGAGGTTAGTGAAGAGATTAAGGTTAGCGCGCTATTACGCGGGCGTCCAACAACTTTCGGTGAGTTGAGCGAAATGGACAAAGGTCTGCAAACAAATAATTGACAAAAAATTTAAATGACTCACATGCCACCTACTAACTGGAGGACCAAAGAATCATATGCGGGAGGCCCACAACGAGACCATCACCCGTGCCACGTTGGACGCCTGCACCAGCATCGTCATGCGGTGCCCCGACACTACGAGACTGTCGATAGCAGAGGCTCTCATCATTAAGAATGAGTCTCCAGCTATCAATTTGCAAACCGCCAGATTTTTCCGGACGTTGAAATTGTTTACGGAGTAATTTTAGTTTTTGATTTCGAACCGTATCTACGCTACCTTTTGAATGTACTTAAGTCATTTTCAAATTTCAAGTGTTGTAAAACTCTTCTCCTACTTGAGAATGAATACTGAATACTCGAAACGTTGTATGCCAGTAAAATGTCATTTGGTAACATGCTTTTCGATTTCCCAACACCAGCAAGAAATTTTGTTCGGTTTATTAAAAAAAATAAGAAATTTGTTAACAAAAAGCATGCAGGTGTCTTCAATAAAACCTGCATAAATGAAAGCTTCTGCCTAACTACACTAATAATGATGATGAGTTCCGAACATTTTTTCGCGCAAAATAATATCAAATTACAGGAGCTATCGGCATTCAAAAAACGAAAAGAAGGAAAAACATTCCGCGCAAAAACATTTTGCGAAGCAAGGAGAAAATCTTTCAAAGGAAATTGTTAGGTGTTCATTGATGGTTGTCGACGGAAATCTACGGAAGTTGACCTCATTATTTAAGTATCTCCTATTATCTGAAGCTATTGTGCATTAATTAAATGAATATGAATAAATTGCATTCATTTTGAGTTAAAATTGGTGAATCAATTGGCGGAATTTTTTATTAATTGACGTAAACAAATGTTTGCCCGAAAAATTCAGTGGGTTGAAAATGAATCGAAAAAAAATCATACGATGAAAGTATCATGATGCATTACTGAAGCAATTGTTCCGCTGATGATATTTCATTGACCTCGGTCCTGGCTGTCCGTTTGACCTTAGTCGAATCAAACTAAACTCACCGAGGAAAACTACCCTAAGGAGATAATCCAAAGACGTGTTAACACGTGAGCAATTCTCATTCGTTTTTAAATGAATATCTATAAAAGTTTCGGATAAATTAACCTTTAATGCCACCCAAATATCATTCCTTAATTTATAGAAGAATCGGCGTTTTAACGAAATGCTCGTGATACTGTAGTTATGAGCGAGGAGTAGAGGTGAGGGCAAACTTCCACATTCAACACGCAGAGCACGACTGCCCGGTAACCTAGTCGTAGTCACCTCGTGGCTCGTAAACGTTGTAAAGCTGGCAACGGATATCTTAACATTATTGATCCAGTATAAGTGATTTTCCAGTAAATATTGTTAATTTCTAACAGCGGAGTTAATTTATAATCTGGATGATCACGCGTAGCTACTAATTAGTTTTAAGGTTAAAAAGGTCTGCAACTCCAGTCAATTTGTTGCAAATATTGTAATCCAAGTAAACTCTCTTGGGTCCGTCGAATATTATAAGGTTATTCATTGCGAAAATTAACTGTTCAGCATATTTCAGCGTAGGTATCATCCGTCATCAATTCAATAAAATAAATGTTATGTTTGCATAATTCAAAGTATACCCTGCATGAAACGAAAAATTTTCTTTCATAAAAAATATTTTAGGGGATAGACTCCGTTAAATTCAAATTTGATTCCTCCTGCAGTATAAATTATTATTAAATAAACAATAATTGTGTAATTGATAACTTGGAGACAATACTTGCTAAAAAATTGCTGGTGAATTTCCAACGACACTAAAATTATGTTCGAATGTAGGCTCAATAGATTACCTGTCTAGTCTGCATAAATGCCAATGGATTCAGTTACACTTTTTTTCTCAAATTAATTCATTACTAAATTTAATTTCCTTACGATAAAGTGTCTTAAAAAGTCTTTCTTATCAATTTTTTTCAATGCAAATTTTATTTGTCAAGAGTTCTGCTAAGTACTTCCTGAAGTTGAATTTAACTTCAGTTGCACCTAGCGTACCTCTGCTTCCAACGTCCGCCGATTCCTAAATCTCATGACACTATGCAACATATCGATTACAACTCAGAATTCCCATTTGAGTCCGTCATACCTGATCGTTGTGCGAGTGCCAGCATCAGAATGGGTGATGTTCGGGGAGTAGCGGGAGTGAGGGGATAGCAAAGACGATTGGAGAATAACAAGACGGACGTGTGTGGGAACGAAGGAGGTATGAAACGAAAAGCGTCCATGCGAAAAACGAACCTCCTTATTTGCGTGAATCGTTGACATAAGATATACATAAGAAAAAACTAATCTAAGCTACGCGTAAAATGATTGTCCATGTAATATCAAGTTACACATGAGCAGTGACTAGACTACCAGAGTAGCTTACTTATTGTTGATTTCCACCTGCAGTCTCACCTGTGCGCAGTTGGGCGGGCATGGTTGAACTAATATACAGTTGGGTGTCTCCAAATTCAATTTCCTATTCAATGACACGAGCTTACAACTGGCACAGCATGATAGGTAGCGACTATCGTTCGATGTCACACATTAATTACTTACTTACATACGGTGATTCCGGCAGACAAGAAGATAAAAGGACGAGTTTCATAAAGATAATTACGTTTTATCTCAATATTGATCGGGGAGAGTTTTCTCAGATCATACAGTTATTTTTAAAGTTACTTTACTTTTGCTTCTATTGTCACCGCTTTGGTTAGGCTTTCAAAAACGATTAAGATCTTGGAACGTTGAAACTAGAGATTAAACTTAAAGAATGTCAGTTTACTGGTACCTAATTTACTCGTCTTTCAACACTAGAGAGACGCAATTAATTTGTTTCAAATCAGCACCTTGGCAAATGGGCGGTAATAACAAAATAATCGCGCATAAACTATTTCTATGCCTCTGGCTCACAGAAAAGGAAATTGGATCCCCGTCGCTATTTCGAAACTAAGTGGTAAATGGTCGGCAATAGTTATCCGTGATAGCAGCCAGCGCCATTCCATACTGTAATCACTTGATTCGGTAACACATAAGTAATCACACATAAGTGATTACTTATGTGTCATTCGGTTGACACATAAGTAATCACTTGATTCGGTAAACACATGATTTCAAGGTGAAGGTATATCGTGATGATAGCTAAAGCATAGTGCGTTAAATTTCACAAGTGGAAGATGCCGTCACAGGGAGTTTTAAAGCGTTATAAGGGTGGAAGGATCTGTCACCAATAGCTAGAAGAGGAGAATACCAATGTGAAGAATGTACCAGGAGAGATGGAGAAACAGCCTTGGGATGAACCGAAATTGGACTCAAGCTGGGGATGAGATGAAGTAGGAGCAAGGTGACGTAATCGATGATGTGCCGCGAATATTTTCAGTGACGTCATACGATGATGAAGGTCACGTGACGATGGAGCGCCGGCGACTGGAGACGAGTGCCGTTCCGAGCGATGACATAACGGGCAGGAAGAAGACGTTCAACTCAAATTTACGCATTTAATATACGTTAACACTCATTAAAATTTCGTTTATTAGATGTAAATATATCACATGGACATAGTAACATACATGACGATAATGTCATGAATATTAGATGTCACGATTACGCATGCGGCGCGCATACAGTTGAGTGCGGGAGGTGTCTTCTCGCAAACGAGCGCAATGTAAACATTAATTAACATACCGCTATCTTTCCAAACTTGTTGTCCCTTCCCATAAATTTAGACGACGATGTAAAAATTTCTATAAATATTGAATTACAAATGAGCCCTCTTGTAATGTAATCAAAGTTTGTATGTATATGATAGTAATTATCAACTGATCGCGATAGAAGTTCAACTGATTCTAAATAATGAAATGATAATTTCACCAGGGCTGCGTACAAATATTGGACTTTAGTGGCTACAAAGAGCGACTTATTAATAAGTTCTTTGATGCTTTTGCGTTCTACGAGGCTTTTAATGGATCGATTGCTCATATTTTACGTCTTTAATTAGCCGGAGAAATTTATATGCTAATCGTCAAAAGGAACCACTGAGTTGCAGCTTCGAGTCTCTACTTATGCAGTCGCGAAAGTACAAGTTCAACAGTTCCCTAAGATGTGTTCTAACAATAAAAAAATTCAAGAAGAAGAAGAGAAATCTTTACTGCCATTTCACTTTCTTTGTGATACATTGAGAGGCAGTCGAGACTCGCGCGTTAGGCACTTTTTCCTATTCGAGACGAGACAAGAAGCTGTCACGATTAACGATAAAAATCGCTAGAATTTTCGAATATTTAAGACATGCATCGTTCCGCTTCGTTTCGTGTTAAATTCATACGTCTCGTGTTGTTCTATAGCATCCGGGACACAAGTTCTAAAATACGGGAACAACCTACTGTCCCGATTCATAGCTTTATTTCAGGAACTTTTCCCCCCTTCTTCGTTGTTTGTTTTCTGGGGAATTTCTCGTCTCGTCCCGATGTCCCAGTTAATTTCGGGAAAATTATTCTGGGTCGCGGTAGCCTACTTAGCCTAGGAGGCCCCCACCGACGAAGGCATATGTGCGGCG